AACAATCAGTCCAACGATGAAGGCAGTGAAGACGGAGAGACCGCTGAACCAAAGGTACGAGATACTGTAGAAGTCAGCWATACCATCACTGTGAACAAAGGAATGGTTGGATTTAACCCTCTGATGCCAGCTCAGTTTTCTCGATTTAGGGCCGTTTTTACATTAAAGAGATTAAAAAAACATTCGAGCTCCATGAAAGGTGCTGTCAATCAAATTATCATGGATTCATATTCCCTAGGGAACGTGGCTTTCTGTAACGCACGGCTAATTTGAGATTGCTTGCTAGATTAGCCAGCGCACGGTCTCAAATTCGCCAAAAAAGCGTTTATAAGTGTTTTTTTTTTCGAGTCATTTTCTGCTACAGAAGCCCCTAGGCCTGCATCATTAAGCTAGACTAGGCGGTTAAGACACTCTTCTGGAAGAAATCAGGAGTGGGGAGCGATTTTTCGAAGACAATGGCGGCAATGCGAATGTCAGTTTGAATTGTTGTCGTTAGAGAAATATCGTATCCCAAGTCTTTCTGTAGCGGATTTCAGACCCTACCAAGGTAAATTTGGCAAGTTTTAACATCCAAACAAGGCAATCGGTGCAATATTTTACCGGTAGGTGCGAGTGACTTGGCACTTATAAAATATCTATAAAAACAGGATTGCTGGAAATCCCTGTCGATTTGAATCAACATATCCCATGATGCTGTTCGATCGTGCATCTGAGAAAACTGTGTTTGCTGTAGTGAGTCCCAAAAGGGGGGCTTTTGGTCGCTCTGAAAACAATTTAACAAAGCAAAAGTGCAACTGTTCAAGAGACTGAGGATGGAGATTCTCCACAAAACCCATTTTCTGCTTGAGAAGGCCATTTTCGCACTGCAATTTAAGTTATAAATAGGAGCTCCCCACTGCTGTCCAGGCCAGTAAAAAACGCATGTTTAGCGTATACACATTAGCACAGCTGTCTTTTTCGATGGAAAAGGTGTATTGGTGATTGGATTTCCTATTCTGTAATTGAGTCTGCTAGTTGTTTTTCTCTTTTGATCAGTGTTTGAATTCGAATCTCACGATTTACGAAACTTGCAATTTTTCAAAGCATGGTTCGAATTCGAACCATAATGCTAAAGTGCTGGCATCAGAGGGTTAATGGGCAAATAAGCACTGAGGATTTGGAGCATGAGTTTAGTGTAAATAGGTCAACCTGTGTGGCTTCCAGTCATTTTCAATGATTCCTGTCTGATTTGTGCTTGTAGCGTTGAACCAGGAACATTCTTGTATGGACCTTTTTCCAGGGTACTTATTTGGTGGGTAGAACTGAGCCCCTATGAAAACCCAGCCAGTCAAAAATGCTCCAAGGAACATACCTGCATAGGCACCCTAACAAAAATAAGGGACATGTAGAGTTGCTTTCAATTATGAACGAGGTGGTAGTACTACGACATGGCACTGTGACGTTATATGATGTAGTGTGACGTGGTATGACGTGTAGTGTGACGTAACACGAAGAGTCATGAACACAGATAGGTCAGCTCGTTTCACAACAAGTGAAATATATACTGGACTTCCTGTGTACAAAGGTATCCCATTACCTTATAGTTTGCACGTCTTACGAACATTCCAAGTAG